CAGCCCCTCTGAGCCGGACACCCCCCGACCCCATCTCCCCACAGCCCTGACCCCCAGCGCCGAGCCCAGCCCCTCTGAGCCGGACACCCCCCGACCCCATCTCCCCACAGCCCTGAGCCCCAGCTCTGAGCCCAGCCCCTCTGAGCCGGACACCCCCCGACCCCATCTCCCCACAGCCCTGAGCCCAGCCCCTGTGAGCCGGGCACCCCTCAACACAGAGCCCAGCTCCCCACCCCAGCCCTGGGCAACAGTAGCACCACCCCCAGGCAGCGACAGCCCATTGGCACCAACCATCACCATCACCCAGTAACAGCCCATTATGTAATTGCAAATGTCGACATCCCATTAAAGCATTGAATGTTTTTAAATAATGTATTTAGTGTATTTTCAAATGGTTACAAATTAATTTTTGAATCTATCTCACTGGTTACTTTTTACATTTCCAAATACATGTTACTATAGTATTGCAACTTTTTTTTATGGAAGGGGCCCCCGAAATTGCTTTGCCCCAGGCCCCCTGAATCCTCTGGGCTGCTCTGCCCAGAGTGTGTGAGGAGCCGGGGAGGGAGGGAAGCGGGGTCCCCTGGAGCCGAGCCCGAGCTGCGGCGAGAGGGGCTCCCGGAGCGTGTGAAGAGGTGAGCGGCCGGCTGGGCTCGTCGGTGCTGAGCAGGTAGCCCCGCCGCCGGAGATCCTCGCCTTCCCGCCCGCCGGGGCTGGGCCAGGGTGCGGTGAGGCTGAAGAGAGCAGGTCCAGGGGGCTCTCCAGGTCCTCGGCCGCCAACATGTCAGGGGTGAGGGCGGTGAGTACGAACTGATCCACCTTGGCCACCAGCAGTGCCGCGAAGCCCAGGGAGGGGCCGTTTTCTCCGCCCCGCAGCCGCACCGCCACCTGGAAGTACTCCCACTCCGCGCCGCCCAGCAGCTCCACCCGCATGGGGACAGAGTCACGGCTGGGCCAGGGCTTGGCCGCCGTGTGCTGGTAGCGGATCCCACGTTTGACGGGGAGCCCAGTGCTGGGGCGGCAGGAGGTGCTGCGGGAGGGGGAAGCAGCCAAAATTTTTTTTGCTTGGGGCAGCAAAAAACCTAGAGCCGGCCCTGCCTAGGGAAAAAGATTTTCTTAATATCCAAGCTAGACCTCCCCTGCTGCAACTTGAGACCCAGGGTCGTTCCTTCCTGCTGTCTAGTCAGGGTGGCCGGCAGAATCCCATCCAATCCTACCATACATGGATACGTTGACTACATACGACATTATTATCCTTTATCCTTCATTATAAGTTATACAAAATACAAACATAAAATCCTACTACTACAGTTAGAGCTGGGGGGCTGGGAGCCAGGACTCCTGGGTTCTTTCCCCGGCTCTCGGACGGGAGTGTGGTCTAGTGGTTAGAGCAGGTGGGGCTGGGAGCAGGGGGTGCTCTCCCCTGGCCACCAGGGCTGGACTTTAGGGAACTGGGGGGGTGGGTCCTGTCCCTCTGACCCCATGACCTGAGCTGCCTGGTTCTCAGCCCTCTCTGACCCCAGGCCTCTCTCTGCCCCTACTTGGTGCTTTAGAAGGGTGAGAGAAAACAGAAAAACAGGAATGACCGATCGGATTTGTCTACGAACACTTTCCTAGCTCCCCCAAACCCAGGCCGTACTGGTTACAAACTGACCTGGTTTAGAGGGGAAGTGGAGGCAGCAAGAACCCCCTCCCCGGGCGAATGTGGGTGAGTAACACCCCCCCCACCACCAGCGGTGACGCTTCCTCACGTCTAGCTCCGGCCCGGGTGGTGGTTCAGGAATGTCAGGATGTCACTCCTGCTGGCTCCCAGCCCCCCTGCTCTGAGTGCTGTGGGACCGGGGTGTGGGGTGCTGACGCCGGCCTGGTTTGGCTTCCCCACACCGTCCGTCCGCGGGTGGCGAGGGGCCCGGATCAGGCCGGAGGGGCACCAGCAGAGCTGGCGGGGGGTGGGGGTGGAAACACTGTTGCTCTGACTGTTCTCGCCTGCCCCTGGGCTGGATTGCGGCTGAAGGGGCCGATCCGGGATCAAGCAGTGGCTCTGCTCCCCCCAACAACACGCGTCCTGCTGGAGCTGGGGTCACCGGCCCCTCGGCTGGGCTGGGGGGGCAGCATGGGGGCGGGGCTGTGCTGGCAGCCGGAGGCCTTTTGGGAACAGAGGTAACTGGGCCACCCGCCTATCCATCCCGGGGTCCCCAGCCCCACCCTCCGCCCCCCACCTCAATTCCCTGATGTGCAAGAGCGGCGCCAACTGCCAGTGCGTGTTCAGGAGGATGTAGGCCTGGATGTATTCACCCACGAAAGCTTAAGCTCCAATACTTCTGTTAGTCTATAAGGTGCCACAGGACTCTCTGTCGCTTTCTACAGATCCAGACTAACCCGGCCCCCCCTCTGATAGCTTGTAACCAGTTTCGTCCGTTAAGTTTCAGTGTTTGTTTTATTCGCTGCTTCCCTTAATATCACTTAAAATCTATCCTGTGTCGTTAATCACAGAATCATAGAATCTCAGGGCTGGAAGGGACCTCAGGAGGTTCTAGTCCAACCCCCTGCTCAAAGCAGAACCAATTCCCAACTAAATCATCCCAACCAGGGCTTTGTCAAGCCGGGTCTTAAAAACCTCCAAGGAAGGAGACTCCACCACCTCCCTAGGTAACGCATTCCAGTGCTTCACCACCCTCCTAGTGAAATAGTGTTTCCTAATATCCAACCTAAACCTCCCCCACTGCGACTTGAGACCATTGCTCCTTGTTCTGTCATCTGCCACCACTGAGAACAGCCGAGCTCCATCCTCTTTGGAACCCCCTTTCAGGTAGTTGAAAGCAGCTATCAAATCCCCCCTCACTCTTCTCTTCTGCAGACTAAACAATCCCAGTTCCCTCAGCCTCTCCTCATAAGTCATGTGCTCCAGCCCCCTAATCATTTTTGTTGCCCTCCGCTGGACTCTTTCCAATTTTTCCACATCCTCCTTGTAGTGTGGGGCCCAAAACTGGACACAGTATTCCAGATGAGGCCTCACCAATGTCGAATAAAGGGGAACGATCACATCCCTCGATCTGCTGGCAATGCCCCTACTTATCCAGCCCAATATGCCGTTAGCCTTGTAGGCAACAAGAGCACACTGTTGACTCGTATCCAGCTTCTCGTCCACTGTGACCCCTAGGTCCTTTTCTGCAGAACTGCTGCCTAGCCACTCGGTCCCTAGTCTGTAGCTGTGCGTGGGATTCTTCCGTCCTAAGTGCAGGACTCTGCACTTGTCCTTGTTGAACCTCATCAGGTTTTTTTGGCTCAATCCTCTAATTTGTCTAGGTCCCTCTGTATCCGATCCCTACCCTCTAGTGTATCTACCACGCCTCCCAGTTTAGTGTCATCTGCAAACTTGCTGAGAGTGCAGTCCACACCATCCTCCAGATCATTAATAAAGATATTAAACAAAACCGGCTCCAGGACCGACCCTTGGGGCACTCCGCTTGAAACCGGCTGCCAACTAGACATGGAGCCATTGATCTCTACCCGTTGAGCCCGACGATCTAGCCAGCTTTCTATCCACCTTACAGTCCATTCATCCAGCCCATACTTCTTTAACTTGCCGGCAAGAATACTGTGGGAGACCGTATCAAAAGCTTTGCTAAAGTCAAGGAATAACACATCCACTGCTTTCCCCTCATCCACAGAGCCAGTTATCTCCTCATAGAAGGCAATTAGGTTGGTCAGGCACAACTTCCCCTTGGTGAATCCATGCTGACTGTTCCTGATCACTTTCCTCTCCTCTAAGTGCTTGAGAATTGATTCCCTGAGGACCTGCTCCATGAATAAATTAATAAACTTGTTTCTTGTTTTCCCTAAAAGCAGCTTGTGGAATTTGTAACTGGGGGGCGAAACGCTGTGCGGATCTTCCTCCCCATTGCGGGAGGGGGCGAATTTCAGGAGTTTGCGCTGTGCAGGTCTCTGTGCAACACAATTTGGGGTTTGCACCCCAGAGGGGGTGAGCACTGGGGTGCTGGGCTATTCCCTAGCTGAAGGCTTCCCACGCAGAGCTGATCCCCGTGTCTGTCTTTCTGCGGCTGGGCGTGTCCCTACCTGCGTGTGCTGGAGGAGGCTTGAGGGCCTGGCTTAGAAGGACAGTGTGAGGGAGCCCAGGCTGGTGGAACAGGCGGGCTCAGTGGTACCCCAGTACATCACGTGGCACCCCGCAGTGGGGGAGGCGACTCGTCACAGACCCCACTCACCTCCTGGAGCTGGACGCGAACCCAGGAGTCCCGGCTCCCAGCCCCCACTCCCCTCCGCTCTAACCATTCAACAGACGGAGACGGTCCCATCACTCTGGACACTCCTATGAGAAGTTGTCCGATGTAGGTCATTGGCTGCTCCGTGTGGGGCTCTGAATCCCGCCAGCCCAGCTCCAATCGCCCCCGATCTCCCCAGCGCAGCCCGCACCAGCCAGGGGTCCCAGGTGCCCAGTCCTCGCCCGACTGGCTAAGTCCTGGCGGGTGGATCCCGTTGGCAGCCTGTGGCCACCAGCTGAGCTAATTTAGCCAGTCGTACCAGTGCGCAGCGGGGAGAGATCGGCGTCGATCCCGATCCACTGGGGCAGGAAGGCGGCTGCAGGTTTGAAGAGCCGGAGGAAGGGGGAGTCGGGGAGGGTGTAGTTGGCCAAGTAGATGGTCTCCCCCCCAGCCAGGTAACCGGCCCAGATGCCGAAGGTCCCGATGGTCATGATCGTGTGGTTGCAATGGGCCAAGAGAGCAAAGTCCCTCCCCGGTGACGACTCCTTCCCTTCCCCTGAGAAATACACGTCCCCCTGCGAGGTGTCGATGTTCTCCCGGCACCACTCCATCCCGTTGCTGGTCACCACGAAGACCGGCTCCTGATACTTGTCCCGGAAGTAGCCCATGGCCTTCTCCAGGTAGGCCTTGTCCGCCACCACCCCCTTCCAGACCTGGGGCATCACCCAGACGTAGTCCCCCCTCCGGACGTGGACGCCCACGTAGGTCACGTTCCGGCGCTGCCCACGCAGCCCGGCCAGGTACCGGTTGGCCTCCTCCTTGACGTGGTCGTGGAAGAAGAATTCCTGGAGGATCTCCTGCCGGAGGTGGTGGTAAAAGGTCCAGGAGCAGGGGTAGCCCGTCAGCCGGACGTATTTCCCCTCGATGTGCCTGTACTCCTCCGACATCCAGTCGTGGAGCTCATAGTCCTTCCATAGGATACTCCAAGCTCTGAATCTGGAGAGCACGGGCAGGGTGATGCGGAAGAGCGGCGCCAGCTGCTGGTGCATCTCGGGGAGGATGTAGGCCTGTCGCCCGTTCATCTTGGCCAGGGCGTAGAGGGTGGCGTATTCCCCCATCTGGTTCCCCAGACGCCCGGCAGAGTTCACGGTCCACATGCCCTGCTCCGTGGCGTTCGGGGAGTGGAGCCTCTGCCATGCGGCGGGGAACCGGCTGCTTACGTGGATGAGGAAGGAGAAGGTCATGATGGCCAGCAGGTAGAGGGTCACCTTGAGGAGCGTCCGGAAGGGGACCCAGGAGCCCGGGGCAGTCATGGCTCCCAGCGATGATGAGGGAAGGAGATCCCAGCCTGGGGGAGGGGGGTGAATAGAAGGGAAAGTGTGGGGGGGGAACAGGGGAGGGAGGAAAGGGGGGGGATGGATAGGCGGGTGGTTAGAGGAGAAGGGGGAGGGGCTCTTCCTGGCCCAGGTACCTCTGTTCCCAAAAGGCCTCCGGCTGCCAGCAGAGCCCCGCCCCTGAGCTGCCACGCCTCCACGCCAGCCGAGGGGCCGGTGACCCCAGCTCCAGCAGGACGCATGTTGTTGGGGGGAGCAGAGCCACTGCTTGATCCCGGATCGGCCCCTTCAGCCACAACCCGACCCAGGGGCAGGCGAGAACAGTCAGAGCAACAGTGTTTCCACCCCTCCACCCCGCCAGGCCTGATCCGCAGCCCCCCCTGCTGAGAGAGAACCCAGGAGTCCTGGCTCCCAGCCCCTCCCCCCGTAACCACTAGACCCCACTCCCCTCCCAGAGCCGGGGCGAGAACCCAGGAGTCCTGGTGAGCAGTGGTGGGGAAGGGGGGTCACTGGGGCAGAAGGGGGCTGCCATGAGTGCAGCGGGAGAGGATGGAGGGAGGGTGGAAATGGGAGAGGGGGGGGAGGGGGAGATGGGGG